TGCATACGGCTGTTGTTTGGGTTAAATTGGATTATGTATGAATGTGCCTTACACGGTGCCTACCATATAGAAAACAACAAATTAACATTATTATTATTATTATTATTATTATAGTAATCATTATTTTTATTCCATTAAAAAGCAACTGGCTTGAAGTACAGTGTTAGCTGTGGAGGATACTAGTCATGTATTATGAACAATTCACCATTGTTGCCACCAATAACTTGCAATTATATGTTACAGCAGACATATAAACAAATAAATTATAATATATTATGAAAATTTCTGTTTGATTTTTGAAAGCAATCAATTGGAGCTCTGCCTTTTTTAGGAATTCTCTGTAACCCATAAGGAAGAGTGTAGAGAAACCTCTCAGGATCAACAAATTAAAGGATTTTCAGAATTAATGACACACATAATAATTTCATTTTACCATAAAAAGGGCATGAGAAACATCACTGCTCTTTGATTAAAATCAATTAAAGCTGATATCTGGCTCAAAATGTTTCTTCTGCTTTTCTTTACTGTCAAGGACCTAGAAGAAATTTAAGCCTAGTGTAAGTCAGAAACAAAGAATTCAAAATTCTCTGAAACATAAATTTTACTCAAATTTTACCTTTTCTTTTAGAATAGATGGTCAAAATGGAAAAATAAAAGGCCAATTTATTGAATTGTTAGCTGTCTAAATGATGACATCAGAATGGCATGAGCTGAACCTCTCTCAGGCAGGTGACTGGATTGCGTCTTGGATGGTACTGATTAATGGGATACCATTCTCTGGGCTACTCTCAGTAACGCACAAATCAGGAGTGATTTAATTATCTATTTTCCTCATCTTCTTGAATCACTGAATGTGGGAACTAGTCATCAATCCAAACTTCTGGCACCCTCACAGATTCTGTGCTATAAGGCATCTGAATTGACTGACCAATAAATGCATCAGTAATCTTGGCCTGTAAAACCCAGTAGTAGTGATGGCGACAGCGGCAGCAATAGCAGGCCATGTTGGTGGGGCATTTGAGATGCTCCAGATAGGCCAGCAGGAGTAGAAGAAGGATTGGTGAACCTGAAATGCCATGACCACTGTAGAGAAAGTTCATCCTGAGTTCTAAAAAGGATCTCCATCATTGCTATTGTGATATTTTATTTATTAATGGTTTTAATCATAATGTTCTCAAGATGCAGCACTATTTGTTCACTTATAAATAGTGTTTATGACATCATTTTTGTGTCCAGTGTCCAACTGGAAAAGCTAAAGGCATATCGCATTCCATTCTAAAAGTGACATAGGGAATCACTTGCCTGTTCCTTAGCCCCCATGTATGCACATCTCTCGCTGGCTCTATTAGTAACTTCTGCTGAAGTAAGTTCAGCGACAGGAAGGAATGCAGCATTAGTGACTTATTGATGCTATATGTTTGTTCAAGAGCATGTTTCCCAAAGCACAGTAGGTAAAGTGTGTGCAGTTAGTTAGGAGAGGCTACGTTATGCTGTGGTAACAAATAAACCAAATAGCTTAACATAACACATGTTTAGTTCCTGTTCGTATAAAGTCCATGTGGGTCTGGGTAACTTTCCAGGGCAACTATCCCCAACGTGGTGATGCAGTAATACAAGATGCTTCAATTTTGTAGTTTCACCATTTCAACATAAGGCCTCCTTCTTTGCTGCAGACAGAATTGCTTAGGCGTATTTCACTGCCTCAGCCCAGATGTGACACACATCACTTCTGCTCACATTTATTTGGTCAGAAATTGTCAAAAGGCTTGACAGAACTGTCAAGGGACTGGGAAGCATAGTCCCCCAGATATATCTCCCATTTATCTGGGTAGGAAGGAAAGAAAGAACGGATATTCAGATATTCTTGAGGGTATCAGTAAGTCAGTATGTGAGAGAATTTTACATGGTGCAGAGATAAACTTTTACAATTTTTGTTTGTTTTCACATGTATTTAAAAATTTAAGTAGCACACCAAGCCTATGAGGAAATGGTTTCATTTTATATAAATTTAAGCTAAATTTTAATTGTAGATACTATGCTATTATGATAAAAATAGTGAAAGTGGCAAACATGTCTGATGTTTTAATAACACTGACCTAAAGGAACCACTGTAAAACCCAAATTTTAGTACATACAACTTCAGGCACACAGGGAATATGAGGTGGGGCTAGGAATTTGCTCTTTTAACAAGTACCCCACGGGATTCAGCAGCAGATAGTCTCAGATGACACCCTGGGAAAGATTGTTTCAGAGACCATTTGCTCTTCTGCTATTAAAACTGGGGAACCAGTGCAAGAACCCACCATGGGGGAGCCTGGAACCCCTGATGGGTACTCAAATCCCCTTTTTATTCTCATGACCACGTGGTGATACTAGCAACAAAGGGCTAAGGTTTTGGAATGAGACACTAGACCTGGCAGGCAATACCTTCAGAATTGCCGTTTCCCTTTTTACCAGTTTTCCATGTTGTCTAACATTTTTCAAGCTGGCAGTTTAGCTCTTTTCAAATCAAATATAATATTAACAGATATTGTTGCTAGTCCCAAAACTCTTCAATTCACTAAAGCCCTTCATTTACTATTGGTGGAAAGTCAGTTTTGTTTTGGTTTTGATTTTTCCATGTCCATGTTTCCCGAGGGTACTTAGAAATTTCTTCCAAGTAGGGTGACTTTGATGTCCTGATTTGTCTATAATATTTTTGTTTTGTATGTGATTTTTTTTAAAGATTGGCACCTGAGCTAGCAACTGTTGCCAATCTTCTTTTTTTTTTCTGCTTTTTCTCCCCCAATCCCTCCAGTGCATAGCTGCATATTTTAGTTGTATGTCCTTCTAGTTGTGGCTTGTGGGACGCTGCCTCAGCATGGCCTGATGAGCGGTGCCATGTCCGTGCCCAGGATCCGAACCGGAGAAACCCTGGACCACTGAAGCTTGCAAACTTAACCACTTGGCCATGGGGCCGGCCCCTGTATGTGATTATTAATAGAAACCTGCTTTTCTCTCAAAAAATAAAACTTTTTTGGATGATAAATTATGTGGTGGCCCTGCTCCTGAGGGTTCTTTTGTTTTATTTTATGATGTGAATGACTGATTTGGTCTCAAAGACTCTTTATTCCATTGCTAGTGGGCAAAAGCCACATGGGGGTAGCTGAGGCAGTGGTTAGTTCTGAATGTTTAATATTTTTAACAGTCTTTTTTGGGCATCATCTGTATGTTTTCCATAGGCTAGAGAAAATGGTAGAAGGACACAGAGAGGAGTTAAAGGGAATAAGCAATGACATTGATGACTGAAGGATAAACCAAGGCGCATTTTGAGCCCAAAGGAACTCGTTATTCTGGTACGTACTTCAAAATACCCTAACCTAATCTGAAGTATGCAATGTAAAACTGAAGACAAATCTTGGTATGTAGCTTGTCTGTGTGTAACTGGCATTCATAACATTTATTCCTCCATCGACATTTAATGGTGTGAATTTTGTATCCTAATGAAGTGGTTGTAATGTCTCACGTTGCCTCAGTTCCATAGCAGAGTTAGGACAGGCCCTGCACAATCTTAAGCAGAATTTCAGTTGTATGAGAATAGTCATATATTTGTAATAAAAGTTACATGTACCACATTTATTTTTCCTGGAATCCTTCCACTAGATAACACATATAAAAGCTGCTATTTACTTTCTAGTTACTTAAATTCTGGAAAAAAGTAAGAGAGGATTCCAAAAGTATAGTGTATCACATTTAAGCAAACTTTAGGTCTGTAGCTCATCATGCTGACTTTTGAAATATGCAAGCACCTACAGAGACCACCCCAGGTTAAAAGTCTGTAAATACTTTATGTTGTTTCACTGTTAAATGATGTTTAGAGTTTGCTATCTTTTATGGACCTTGGAAATCTAATTATTTATAATATCCAGTGACATTTACATTTTGTTAAATATTTTCTACTTGTAATAGAACACATCGTGCTTAGCAAAATGGAAAGAGAATCCCTGACTACATTTGCTTGTATATAATGCAAAATATCAGAATAACCTGTGTTATCTTTTTGTTATAATTACGTGATTTGAAAAACATAATTCTCAAGAAGTGTCCTTAATCACTACTGCTTAAAATACAGAATAAGAAAAAGTTATCATAGCTGAAATCGTTTGTTTACCATTTAACTCTCAACTATCAAATCAAATATCTATTCAAGTTTATTGGTATCTTAAAATAATACCATTCATTACCATGCCAACAGCTAAAGTGTGTTTGGTTTAATTTTCAACATTGATTGAAAGTAGATTGTAAAGTTGAACTATTATGTTAAGTTTATTTACACAAACATAGTGTCTTGGAAAATAAACTCTGAAAGTGTACAGCAGTTGAATCCTAATGTATTTCACATCCTGAGTTTTCTAATATCTGCTTTCCTGGGATCTGTTGGATAGAGAATCTCAACTTTACCATAGTTACCTTATTTAGGATAAAATTACCTCAAAATTTAATTATTCTTAAATTCAAGGTTAAATTTATGACTTGCTTTAAAAAAAAAGAATTTTACTTTTAATTGATTTGAAGAATTTGCCTAAGAAAATAATTTATTTCAAACACATCTATGAAATAATCACAGATGACATTATTTTTTAGTCTCTTGAAACACACTTTCCTTACAAGAGTCGAAAATAACATTTCTAAGATGTAATCAATATAAAAAACCATAAACGCTGAGGAAAAAAAAACCAATTTCAGTAGAACCTCTGAAAAAAATTGATTTGGGTACTGGACAGTGACACATTATTTAAATTAAATTTTTATTTATTCAAGAGTTAATCTTGGTGAGTGAGCATTTAGAAGCCCTTCCTGACACTGCAATCTCTTCTGTTATATATTCTTAATCAGCCTATGACGTATCACTCTCTCGCCTGATTCCCCCTTTCCCATCAAAACGCCGACTGCTCCCCTGGCGCTGAGCGGCGCGGGGCCGGTGACGCTGCGAGGGCGGGTGGGAGCAGGGCACGTGGACCAGAAACACTTCCTAGAAACAGCAATTCGCTGCTCAACCCTGCCTGAACTTTCCCTGTAAACACAGCTCGCTGACAGAACGGCGTCCCTGCTGGGTGGATCCTGCAACTCCTAGAGGGAATGGCACTTCTCGTTTTTCATTAGAAAGGCGAAAGGTGAATTACACTTAGCTGTTCGGCAAGTCAGTGCAAGAGCCTGACTTCTGAGAGGCTTCGACGAGCCACAAGAGAAGAGCTCTCGGGGAAGGTAGTGGGAGTGCTCGTGGGGTTTTTTTCTGAATGAACCGCTTGCAGAAGTGACTAAAGAAAACCACAGTTTCTTCCTGAATCTACGGGCACAGCTACTGAAGAGAGCTTTAGACAGGACGTGCCTCTGAAGACTCATTCCTTGGAATGTCCTCTTGCTCCCGGCTTACAAACAACTGTCCTGAGGAAAGAAAGATTTTACATATCCAAATAAAGCCTGACAAATGGCACTTTGGAACTGTGCTTTCTGATGACAACGCGTTCGATTTCTGACAAAGCCTCTCGCAAGCTGCCCCTGGAGGGGAGTCCTAAGTAAAACTCAAACCCACCTTCAAGTGAGGATCGTTCGGAGGGCTCGCACCGGGAGCACGGGAGCATGGCATCGGCTGGGCACATTGTCACTTGGCTTCTGTGGGGTTACTTACTGGAGCTCTGGACAGGAGGACACACAGCTGATACCACTCACCCCCGGTTACGCCTGTCACATAAAGGTAGGTCACCTTTTGGGGTCCTTTTGTCAAAAAATAAAGTCATTTAACCTGAATTGATCTTCACAGACTCTTAAAATGCACCTGAAAAAAATTATTGCAGAACTGACCTAAGATTCTAAGTACCTCTAATTAATATGTCACACTTACCACATCTGAAAATAGTGCAAAATCACATGCCAACTTAGAGATGTTATTTTCGTCTTGTAAATATTTGGTTTTACTAATGAGAAGTTCTCTCACTAGCAGTCTCAACAGAAGAGGCTGGGAAGCAGGTTGTAAATAGCTTTGAGGGGTTGAGTCCACTAAGTTGGAAGTGGGTATTTAAATACTAATTTATGCATTGTGGGAAACGAGGATGTTGGGCAAGGGCTTTAGAAATACAGGTGCAATTGGTTTTTTGTTTTGTGTTGTTCATAATGGGGATTCCAGGAAGAGAAAAGAAAATTCCTGAGAAGCAAAATGATTCTTTGCCCAGGATAACAAGATCATTACCATGTGATTAAAATGACTGACAACTGATATAAATGAGCTTTCTAGTTGAACTAGTTATTAGAAATTTTTGTGTGTGTAGCAAAAAAATTCAGAGTTTATTAGCAATCCTTGTAAACTGATTCATATTGATTAAAGTGTTAGATACTATTCATTAGCATCTATTCTTTCTAATCTAAGCTCATATTGCTTAACTGAAGGTCTATCAGAGACTGCTTAAATATTTTATTCTGCGACTATGTCTTCTAAAGCAGCATTTAGTCATAAATAAATGATCAGAAGATAGCTTTTGCATCAGGACAGTAAAAGTCAGTCATGAATAGGTTTGGTGTAAACAGGTTTGTTCCTGTAAACAAACAAATAAAACCCACACTCTGAGATAGTGATTTTGCTGACTTGAAAGAAATTTGGAATAAATTTTTCAGGAAAGAAGTGTTTATTATCACTAACCATTGAGACAGAACAGATGCAATACGAGAATTACATAAGAACCATTTTTCAATTGTGTAAGCTTTTAAATTGTCTCCCACCGTAGAAAGAACAGAAGCGTGTATTTTTAAAATATAGATGTAATCTTTACCCGAAGGAGAAACCAAAAAGGGAAGCCTCAATTTTATATGACACAATTGATCTTTTTTGTCTTTTTATTTAGTTGATTTTGACTATAGAAATTTCTCATTTTTAGAATAGCTAAACTCTATGGATATTTTCTTAGTTTAAATAGATTTCCTATAACACTCCCCAGTAGATAACATAAATTTAAGAAACACATTGGCACTGAATTTGTAAAGTATTAAAATATAATTCCTAGCATTAGCACAAATCATTTGATTTGGGAAGATGTATCATGGTATGTATCAAAATCATATTTCTAAAAAATTATGAACAAATTGTCAAAAAGTAAAGATTTGCTGTGATAGAATACAGATAAATAAGGATTTCAGAAAAAAACTGTAATAAATGAATTGTTTATCTTATGTAGACAAGTGGATAATCCACCAGTTTTGGCAAGCTGCCATTCTACTATGCCTCATATTAACCTTTTATACCTCATTCTTAGTGTACTTGTTTTTCAATAGCTCAATATCAATATGTTTTCAGAGATATTTCATTTTAATATTTCATTAGAAAGCTTGTAATTTGGTCAGAGCATACCACAACTTTCTAATTCAACTAATTGCTATGTACAATATTGTTAGCAGGCTCCTCTTTACTACATCTCTCTTAACCCAAGGAATAACTGTACTTGATTTTATGGGTTGTGTTAAATGGTGTGGGAGTGGAACTGCTGGTATCTGTGTATACACGGGACTGAAAACTCACACAAGATTTCTCTTTGGCTTTTCTGAACCTTTTGATTTAATGGCACTAGCTGAAAATGTGCAATATTGTGCTTTTATACGAAAACACTTTAGAGTTACCTGAAAATAGAATGTTCTCATTTGTGCGATTTTAGGTAGCAAAGTCAGCTAAAAGATCACACCAGAGATACAACCTGAAGTATTGTGCCTGCTATTCCACAGGTGCCTCAGGGAAGGGAAAAGCACAGAACTGTCAGAGCAGAATATTCAGTCCCATCAATACCGTATGAACAGTCCATTTACCTCTCTACACTCTGGAATTCGATGGACAATTTAGAGGAATCCAAAAACTATGAGTAGGGTATTGCAGAGTATAATCTTTTGCTATTTTAAATGATATCAGTAATGGTAAATTTTCAGCAGTGGATGAATTAGGTGATTAACATTATAAATGAGTACATGGATCTTCAAAGGAAGAAGCACTAGATAGAAGTGACAAAGCACTTCTGTACTGCTGCTGGACCCCAGCAGAGAAATCCAGTAAGCTCCCTGGAGGCAGCCTACTGGATTAGTCCCGGGATTCATTTCATAGCAGTGCTCTATGCCATGTAGGAGAAGGACAAACATTTTTCTTATATCCTTCATTATCAGGATGACACTTGAGACCATAAGCCTAGTACCTCTTCCTGAAGAAGAGAAGAAAGTTTCAGTGTCATATACAGAGCTTGAGTTAAATTACATAAAAATATGTTCAGAAAAAAATGCCCAAGAACTGCCCTTTTCCTCTTTCTTCCATCTTTCTCTATCTCTGGAAATGGCATGTTCTTAAACAGAGCTTGAGAGGAGAAGACCGTTAGGACAAAAAGGGAGAAAAGGCAGAGAGGGAGGAGGACAATGTAGAAACCTGGTATCAGATATGGAGCCGTTTCTAGCTTATTTCCCACTGCTCGCAACCCACAGTGTGGTAATATTGAATTCCTCCCTCTTCCTACTGATTATTGGTCTACTCCAATATTGAGCAAGTATGTCAACTTAAGACAAGCCTAGTGGATAAAAAGATGAGATATTTACTCTTGTCGAGGCAATGCATATATCTTTTAGTGTATTTTACAAGTACAAGGTAAATTGGGTTAACAAATAAAAATTTGGCAAAGATTAAAATGACGAGATACTGTCCTGCGTTGTAATAAGTTTCATTCAAGATTTGAGTTGAGATTAATTATATCAGGCAAATATTTAGAAGTTTTTGAATAGTTATGAATTATAGCCAACTTTATAGCCAATACTCCAAAAAGGGTAATATTAATGTGATTAATACAAAATTGTAATATTCTACCCCAAGGATTTTCTTGAAAATAGCTATGACCCTCATTGCAGAAATTAAGGGAAGAGAGAATGAAGGGAGAAGAGTCTTGGTGGATTCAGCAACTTCGGTCTGTTGATATCTCTTCTCTCCTTATCGTTCACCATCCTGCATTGATGAGGTTACAGGGAAGGCAAAAACAACCTTCTTGATAATGGAGCACAAAGAAGAAAACAACAAATTAGCAAAGCCCCATGTCAAAGAAGAAATCCCAATGCATGTAGAAAGCCCTGGAAATTCAATCAAAGGAGCTTGGCAGATGGAGTAGGTGTGCAAAGTTGCAATAAGGAGCAACACAATTGTAGAAGCCAAGGAAAATGGCTGCTTTAAGCAGAGGATGTTCTCCTAGGACATTTGGTGAGGAGACAGCTAAATAAAAGCATAGATATGGCAGAAGATCATTCCTAAAATATGTTGACATTATAAATGTAGATTTGAGCATTGAATATATATCCATACATATAGAAAGTGGGATAGAGAGTGCTAATTAGTCTATCTGTATTTGGATATTATAACCAATTAAATATGGATTTCTCATAGTTCAGAAAACTCGCAATTTGAAGTCAAAGGTCTCTACTCCAGCTCTTGTCCTTCCACTTCTACTAATGGTAATCGTCGATGCCTCAGTTTCCTTAATTTGAAAAGAAGAATAGTAATGGTGCTTTCTATGTATATCTTACTGGGTTCTTAGGTGGATCAAATGGAACAACAATATCTGCGAAATCACTTTATCACCTAAAAATTATGTTGCTAATGTTTCCTGAAGACTGCTATAAATTGAGAAGATTGGAACGAAGCATGTCCCAAAGAGAAAAACCCTTGGGAATGGCATGAGTTTTGATACCAATAAGTGCTGAGATGATACTATAGAAGACAGAAGAAGTTGATCTTAATTAGCCTGAAATGTATGGTTTATCCCTGTAGATTTTATTCACCCAAAATCCCATTTCATAGACCTTTAACCTCTAGTTATTATAATTTAGAAGATGATTACATCAGCTGTGCATTTTCAAAGATCCATGGCCAATATTTTTGCTATAAAAGTGTGCATATGTCTATTTATTACACATGTTTACTTTCTACCGCACGTTTTAGAATGTTTTTAATTTCTATGAAAAAAATTGCGATAGAATTCTAGAAAAGCACAATGATAAATAAAAGTTTTAAATGATCATTCTGGAGGCTGTGGTATTTATTTTATATCCAGAGCAAATAAAGAAGAGGCAGTGACTGAGCCAATTTTTCCTGACCCAGCTCATAGCTTTGGTTCCTCAGCCAGTAACTAGATATTATCAATAGTGACATTAGTCACACATCCCTGAGTGGTTAATAAATGAAAACTAGTCATAAGGGATAATTCAAAAAGAAAGTAGTGGGGCTGGCCCGATGGTGCAGTGATTAAGTGTGCAAGTTCCACTTCGGTGGCCCGAGGTTTGCTGGTTTAGATCCCGGGTGTGGACATGGCGCTGCTTGGCAAGCCACGCTGTGGCAGGCATCCAACATATAAGATAGAGGAAGATGGACATGGATGTTAGCTGAGGGCCAGTCTTCCTCAAAAAAAAAAAAAAAAAGAAAGTAGTTAAATAGGACCCAGGAGTAAACACAACCCTTCATGCCCAGCTCTGCGTCAGGGAGAGTCAGTGAGAATTAAGTGGTGGATTTATTAAGAAACAACTTATATTAAAAAAAAATTGGGTAGGATGAAAAGAATAACATTATGTTTTGCTTTGCATTCTGTAGAGGAAGTCTGTGTAAGGGTTTTAGATAGCGCTATTCTTTGTATTTTTATATTTGTTATAGATAAATATTGGCCGTGCATCGCAGAAGTGCATCTGGGTATACAAAAG